CGTCTTACTCTTGCCTCCCCCGGCATTCTGTGAGGGTTTGCCTCCCCTTGCGAGCGCCTCTTTGTAGAGAAAGAGGGACAGCACGGGGGAGAGCTGGGCTCGGCCTTGCCCTGGGCTCGGCCTTGCCCTGGGCTGAGCGTCCGGCGGGTCCTTGCAGCTCGTCGGGGTGTTTGTGCGTATCCGTGTGGCTTTTGGCACGCTCGGGCTCCCTGAACTTTTACGGGTCAAAAGAAGCACCTTCCGTTCCCCGCAGGGTTGTTTCTTTATAGTGACTCAGGAAACCCGTGTAATGGTCATATTAACAGCTTTTAAACCTGTAACTGGGTTGAAAGCTACTTTGTCATAACTGTTAAAGGGAGGTGATGTTTTCAGACACTTGCTCTGAGTTGGTGACAGGATCTGGCCAGGATAGTGTTATTTAGCTTTTTCTTTATAATGCCTGACTGCTTTTTAAAGGACATCTGTTTGCCACATGTGTGCTACCATTAAGTAACAATCACAAAACTAGCTATTTGGAAATAAATAACATTAACAGATTAAAAAAGTGGTGATAATTTAAGTATAATGATACTGATGCTTAGTGCTTGGCTGGAGTGTTTTTGCTTGGAGAGCCAAACTGTTTTAAAAGGGTGAATCTTTCATTAGCAGGCATCTAAAATTGCTAGTCCATTGAGTCTGGTTCTTGCATTGTATAGAAACTCCATTTTACCAAGTTTCCATACAGTTTTTAGTCAAAGTAGGGAATCATGTACATATACTTTCTTCAGTATGTCTAGTATCTTCTTCCTCCAGTCTTGAGTCACATGTAGGGATGTGCGTAGTGGGAAACGTTGCAAGGAATGTGTGTTTCCTCAGACAAAACTTGAGTCTGGATATAGAACTACTATCTAGTCTGTTCCTCTGTTGCCCAAGAAAATATTTGTGCTAGAAGTCATGACTATATGAATACTCTTCTTTAAGGACTGTGTTGGCGATTGCTGGAGAAGACTTTTCTATCGTTGCCTCTGACACACGACTGAGTGAAGGTTATGCAATTCACTGCCGGGAAAGTCCAAAATGTTACAAACTGTAAGTCCAGATCTTGTAAGAATTGATACAGGTGAAAGATATTTTATATTGATGAGCATGTCACCTGCGTGGAATGATCTATCACTTTCTTTAAGCAGAATCCTCAGAAAAAAAGGATAGTAACAAAATTGATTTTGGAGTCACGGTGACTCTTGCTGTAATGCAAGATGTGATGGTATAAATACAGCCAGATTTCTTGTTGCATGCTCTTGAAGTTAGCTGATAACAGAACATTTTTAGCATGATACAAGGCTTAATGTAAGCTAGGTGGTTTTTTGGCTGGATAATCAGAAGAACTTTTGTCTTAACTGTAGCAAAACTTAATCCTGTGGTAACTCGTTCTGCTTTGTCAGGACACCTGATGTTGGTACGCAAGTGTGCCCACTGCTGCCAGTTGTACTGTGTCTCTCTAGTCCACCATCTGGCACTTTGAAGAGGTGTTTGTTTTAGGAGAGGTAAACCTGTCAGTAGTTCCATTATTGAACTTTTTATTCTCATTGTATGCTTTTCTTGACTCCCCTAGGTTTAAAAATACATATTGTTTACATTTCTTTGACTGTAGCAGGTGCTTACCTAGTAGGCTGCCATCAGCTATGTAAACAATTTTTTTGTGTTTAGGTTTGGTTTTGTGTTTTTTTTTTTTTTAATAGATGACACAAGATCATATGAACTTATGTTTCTCCTGGCTAACTCCTTACTATATCTTTGACTCTCTGATACTGTCCAAATGGAAATTACTATGGTACAATCTGCATACTGCACATGATGGCTTTGTGTAATTGTAGTGACAGGCTGAGAGAAGATTTCAGTTTAAATTGTTTTCTGAATGACTGCTTTGTGTTAGTCTGTAAGTATGCGTGAATGGTTGTAGACTCTCACTAATTTACTAGAATTCAAATTTCAAACGTGCGTTCTGTAGTTAGTGTTCACGAAACGCTTTGAAACTGAGCGAAGAGCTAACCTGCTGCAATGCGTCCGCAGCCAGATAACTTCTGTCGTGCTGACACAGAAAACCGCCTACAGCATAAATGTTTCGTAACCATCATACAATCTTAATGCAGTCCTCTGCCCAGATGCAGTAAAACTGGGCTGAGTGATACGATGTAACAGGCTCCCCATCTCAAAACAGATCCTCTAGCAAGACTGAACGGTAATAGCTAGAGTTAGGGGTGCATGAAGAAGTTAAGAATGTCTTTTTGTCAGTCTTGCTGTGGAAGTCAGTGGATTGAAGAAAGACAGCTGCGTGGTCCTGCACTTACTCAGTCCTCTTCAAGATGTAGGTTGCAGTTACTTTTTGTACACAAAATATCTGTTACTACATTTTAGACAGATGTTTCTGATAGCTTTAGAGAAACAGAAAATACATTTGGTGTTTTCATAATAATCTACTGTGTAAGAAAGTGGTATAGTTCATACTAAATCTAAAATCACAACAAAACTTTACATTTTACAGAACACAACAAACGGTCATTGGATGCAGTGGTTTCCATGGTGACTGCCTTACCCTTACTAAAATTATTGAAGCAAGATTAAAGGTAGCTAACTATCTTATTGTATTTAGAAACTTATATTCTTAGTATCACGTTTAAGACCAATAATATGATATGTTTTTGCTGGTTTTCTTCAAGTGTTTGTATCATAACTATGGCTGTATTGCTGGTGAAAGATCAGGCAGGGGAAATTGGTGCTGTGTTCTTACTAAGTGTAACATCACAAATTTAAAGAATGGAAGAGCTGAAGAGGATAACGTTAATGAGGCAGCATCTATTCTTTGCAAAATTTTGGAGAAATGTTACTTTTTGGCTTGTAAGAAGGCTTTACTTTTAGACCAGTGTGTTTTCAGTAATCATGCTAGTTAATGTCTTGCTTAGCGTCAGATTCTTCTGTAGTGAGGTTACAGAAAATGTAATTCTGATTGAGTGTAAAATCTAGTGTTTGACTTTCTTCTTGGACATGTGGTACCATTTGCAGATGTACAAGCATTCCAATAACAAGACCATGACTACTGGGGCTATTGCAGCAATGCTGTCTACAATTCTGTATTCTCGACGTTTCTTTCCATACTACGTTTATAACATAATTGGTGGACTTGATGAAGAAGGTAAGACTTTAAACAAAATAGAAGAAAAGAGGGGCTAAATTTCTGTAGGTGAATAGCTATCCTTTTACATCTCCAGTATACTGATGGAGTAACAAAGTTTGTGTTCCTATTCCTAACACCTACCTTTAGGCATTACGGTACTTACACAGGTCAAATGCATATTATGCATCTGACTTGTTTCCGCTCCTAACTTGATCTTCCATTTCTGAAGGTCTGAAAGTTTAAAAACTGTGTTATAATTATTTGATTATAAGCGAAATCTGCTAATGTTGCTTACCTCTCATACTTTACTCTAGACTGGAACACTTTGTAACAGCTTTGCTGGAATTCTTAATTGTGTCTTTAAAGGAGATGTTAGCAGTAAAATTGCGTATATTTTACTCTGGCCTGTCAGTGTGGTAGGGGTTATTAAAGATGAAGATTTACTCTAGAGACAGGTTTCTACAAAGGGATTTTTAAATCTTAACTAATTTCTAATGAAAATCATGACTTCTACATGGAAGCTGTATTTTAACATATAGCCCTTCCAGGACTTACTGGGCTCTTGTCCAATGATTTGGTTGGGTTGCTGAAATACTGTGTTCTCTGGCTTTGAGCAGGAGCTCAGAGGTGGTCTTGTTTGGATAGCTTCAACCATTCCTCACGGTTTGTTGTTACCATTAAGTTATACTGCTTTCCCAGTCTCGCTAAGACATGTCTACGGTATGTGGAGTCTGGAAAGGGATTAGTCTGCCCTGCGTAAGGGTAAATCTCAGATTATGAGGGTGCTGTAGCAACTGACAAGAATAAGAGTGCAGGTTTGCGTGCATGGGCTTAATTTGGGTGCAGCAAGATTGATGCGTTCTGATTTAGTGTTACTTTCTGGATCTCTGCTACCTTTCTCAGGGCTGCTCAGCTACCTGTGCTGTGCTGCCAAGTGCACTGGCCAGTTTATTAAATCAGGTGCAGCCTGTCTGAACAGAAAGCTTGGCTGGGTGCTGCGTTTTGACTGGTATGTCCTCACCAAATGCTGATGCTTCAGAGGTACAGTGTGTCTGCATCTCTGATGTCGGCGCAAGCTAATAAGCTTTGCGCAACCTGGCCTGACTCCAGAGGGAAGTGCGTAAGAGACCAGAGCATCATCCCTGGTTCTGGGAAGGTGATGCAGAGGCATCCAGGCATGCTCTCTGGAGGTATTTCAGGAACGATGGCTAAACTGCCCCTTTGTGCTAGCTTTAGAACCAGCAGAGCTCTTTGTGCAGCACTGCGCTCTAGCACATTGTCCTGCTTTGGTTATTCTGCATCAGCACTCTTTCTGTGGTAAGTACTGTAGAAAACATCTGTTAGAGCATGGTTATAGCTTAAATGTTGAAAATAACCTAGTGTATAGTACCAGGTCACAACCATAGTGAGCTTACTGTAGAAAGCATTGTCTGAACATACTGCAGTATCATTTGGTAAAGGTTTGCTGGGTTCTCTGGTACTCCAGAGACTGCTTATGGAGGAGAGAGCTAGTTTTTGACGTAAATGCTCATCTGTATTGAGAATCTTTCTGGATTGTGATTACATACTTTTTTTTTTTTTCTTCCAGGAAAGGGAGCAGTGTATAGCTTTGATCCAGTGGGCTCATACCAGAGAGATTCTTTCAAAGCAGGTGGATCAGCAAGTGCCATGCTGCAACCCTTGCTTGATAACCAGGTGAAATAGTTCTCTTTTTTTAATTCTCTTTTTTTTCTTTTTATGATCTCAGTAAACATTTGTGACATTCAAATTTATGTAGCTTGACTTTTGGGGAATATTACTTTTGAGAGAAGTTTTGAATGTATTATAGGTAGGACTGTTAATCCATACATTTATAAATTGTGTGGCTCTACCCTCTCGGGAGAAATCAAGGTTTTGCTCTAGAATCTGTTCAGGTTTTTAATATGCTACAAACAGTGGACAGCCTGCTTTTTTAAAATACAGGTAAATGTTTTAATTGGGGAATTCTGTTTCCCATAGAAGCTGTTCGGGTGGTTTTTCTGTTTTTTTTCCCTAGCTGATAACATAAATATGCCTGTCGCTTAGCATGAAATCATACTAAATGAAGAAGATAGAATTAGTAGGTGTATATAACACATTTTATCACTTAATTACACTTGTTTAAAAGTCTTAAGTTTTGTAGAACTCGGACGCCATTTTCTAAGAATGTTCTTACATAAAACTGCTGGAGACTTATTCAATTAAATCTCTCTAAAAACACTTAAAGAATATTTTCATATTTAATCGAAGCTGTTAATTGTTGAATGAGAGAAATACCAAAGCATGTTTTACTCATTTTATTCTCTGATATTGGCATTGGTATTGTTTGGTCAGTTGAGCGTGATGTCAACACAACTTTTGTGCTTAAAAAAGCCATAAGCACTCTTAGTTCTTAGCAGCTGAGAAAGGAATAGAATCTTTCCTTTTTTTTTTTTTTTTTTTAACCAACTCCAGGTTCTCATCTTTGACTTAGTTTTGAACTCTATTAACTGAAGAAAATAAAATGTCTTCTGCAGAAACAAAGTTATCATAAGTTGCTTTTTACTGCTTATGAGTTTGAGGCATAGTAAGTGACTCTTCCCCTCCTTTTCGAGTTCCAATGCTTAATGGACACTTAAATTCATCATCTAAAATACACTATTTAATAGGACTGGTTATGCTCCAATATAGACGGTTATTTTTGAATTCTAGGTACGTTTAGGAATATTTGCTTTTAAGAAGGCAAACTCCTAACTACAGAATGACTAGAGAAAAGGCTTGCGTGCAGTTCTGATACTGCTAACCCAGTGAGAAGTTTCTGAAGAATTAGCTTGGTTCCGATCTGAATGTTCATTGCGATCCTGTATGTGCTGAGTGGGCGGGAGGAGCTATGCTGGCTGTGTACCGGATCTGCTTCTAGTCACTTCTGAAAGAGGATCAGCACTGGCAAAGTTCTGATCGTGCAGCTGTAGACTCTGTGGAGGAATACTTTTGCCAGCTTTGGGTTTCTAAAACAGACCAACCATTTTGTCTTTTTAAGTTGTCTTAATCTGCTCGTTCTAGTGCAGAGACCGAAACAGCTTTTGTGCTAGATGGATCATGTTTCCTTTAAAACGCATTTTCATCTTTCCTTAGATTGGCTTCAAGAACATGCAAAATGTGGAACATGTACCTCTGACCCTGGAGAAGGCTTTGCAGCTGGTTAAAGATGTCTTTATTTCTGCTGCTGAGAGAGATGTGTACACTGGGGATGCACTTAAGATTTGCATTGTCACAAAAGATGGAATTAAAGAGGAAACTGTCCAATTACGAAAAGACTAATTCAGTTATAAGCACGTAATCTATGATGTACAATTTACCTGTATTATGAAGACATTTGTCTTATTAAATTTTTTCAAGAAGTCCGACTACTGTAATGCTGAATATTTTCTACCTTTGTTAGAAGTGATCAGTGTGTTTTAGAAAGCAGAGCAGTTCATGGTAAGGAAGTGGCTAAGAGTTACAAGTCAGTTTCGTTCATCTCATCGTAATCTATTGATCAATCTAGTCCCACTGTCAGTTTACTCCCCTTCTCGCAATCCCTTGTGCTACAATACGGAGGAGTTTAAACTTACTAAAATTTAGGTTCACAGACTTTTCTGATAATGCTTTCAGTTAAGCCTTGGTTTAGTGAGAAAAGCATTTGTTGTGTTCATGCTGCCTTCTCTGCACTTCATAGCTTGCTTTTCCTATCTTTTCCTTTATCTCTCTGACATGCTGTCCTGGCATTTGACCTCTCTGTACTTATTTACAGAGACTATAAATATGAGTCACCTGAAACCAATTTCTCTGTGTAAGAGGGAAGAAGGTTAAATGGAGTCTTCAGGAGTTTAGTCCTGGACTCTGCACCTGGGCTCACCTCTACGCGTTTCTATTCGGTTAACGCCCAAAATCTGAAGCATCATCCTTTTCTGGCTGCTGATGGAAGATAACTTAGTATGGAGATTCCTGAATGCCTGTTGATGTCTGGGGGCTTTGTTAGCCCTACTACTGCTTTTGATTCTTGGGAAATTGCATCAAGCGTAGACTGTTTGTCTGACGTGCTGTATGGCACTCCTGGAAATTGCCTTGAGTACTAGGACCTTTAGAAAAGCCGAGCTGCATCATCAAGGGCAAAATAATCTCCTCTTGCCTGGGAATCCTTTCACAGTCTGTAGCTATGTAGAAAAGGACATATAAAATACCTCGGACCTTGAGGTGGCATACTCGTTTTTCAAAAGAACAATTTTGCTGATGTGTTTGACCGTACAGTAACCTTGTCTCCTGTTCGGAGGTGGCTGACTGCCGTCTGTGCAGCATTTCAGGTGCTGTGCTTTTTTCCTAGCTCTGGCTAGTCTTCGCCAGCGATGGTAGTCTCGGGCTTTCTAGGCAGTTTAAATAGCGGGTAGCATTTTGAACCTCCAGTGTCAAACAGCTAGGGCATTTAAACTGACTCTAGCTGTGTTTAGGAAACCCAGTGGGTGGGAACTCGAACGGTAGCCGTTTCCCAGAGTGTTCATGGAAACAGTTGGCCGCTGGGTGCCACTGTTGGGCAGAGGAAGGAGGGAACACCCCATCCCTGGGTGGTTAGGCAGTAAGGAAGGAGCACGGCGTCCCGGTCTGAATAACGCTGGGCCTGAAGTCACTTGGTCACACAAGTCAGAACTTCCATACAGGTTCAGGTAACTTAATGGGGTGTTTAACATTATTTGCAAAAGTCACCTTAAGTGGACAAGGTCAGTTGTATGAATGACTGTAGCCATACGCTGTTCTGTACTGAGCAAGCTGCACACGGTGCAATAATTCTAAGAACAGAAAGCTTGTGTATATTTAAAGTACAAATCAGCAAGACCAAATTAAGTACGTGCTCTGTTACTTCTATAAAATTCAATTAAAGCACTTGAAGCTCGGCTATCTTTGATACCAGACTTATGTTGAATTGCTCAAGTGTTTCACAATAGACGGTTACAGCTTTATGCAGAGTTGAAGTCTAGTGAAACTGAATAGTATTTAAGTTGCAAAGAAAAGCAGCCGAGGGTAACAAGTTGACGTGCCTGCCTTTGCAACAGGTCTGTTTGCAGCATGCAAGATCTAAACAGTGAAGGGAAGGGGAGCTATCTAATTTGTACCTGAATTAATTTAATGTTCTTGCAGGATGCCAGATGTGTAGGAGAGTTGCACTGATTCAATTAAAAAAAAAAAAATTGATGCATTTGGATGCTTTTATATTTAAGGGTAAATTTTACATCCAAAATAAATGCATGTCCAACAGACTTTAGGAATTACTTGTTTTAGTTTGAGGTGTCTAGGCCTGTCTCTGTAAGTTGTTTTAGGAGAAATACAAGGCGATTAGAGTGTTCAGGTCTCATTTGCAATCTCAGAAGAGATACAACAACAGGTACCGGGGATGCAAGTTTTCCTGCCACGGTGTGTCAGTGCTACCCTGTTGGAGCACTTGTGCAGATGAGATGGCCATTTTGTATCCTTTTCAGTTTTCCGTTTCCCTGCAGAGTACATCTGGCTGAAGCACCAGCAGGCGATGGAAGCTTTTTCACAGGCCCGTTGGGCTGAAAACACCAAATTTCTCTTACAGAAGGTAGCAGTGCATTCACTCCCTCTGTGGATGGGTTTGGAACCAGTGACGTGGGAAGGTTTGTTTCCCAATTTGTTTTTAACTTTCTGGTTATGCCCTTCCCTGGTGTCATCACCGCTCACGCTCAGAGACGGGAGTTGCAGGGGTGACAGAAGATGTGTGAGTACAAAAATGTTCACGGGCCCCTCAGGTAAAAGTTACTTGCTTGCTCATTAGTATTAAAACACATTCAAAAATTGCATATGTCAGCTGTGTCGTACAGACAAAAGGCGCCAAGAGGTTTGTTGTTTTTTTTTTAACCCACGAAGTTACTCGGCTTTGTTTGCGAAGATTGTCATCGCCTAGGGCTGGAAGGTAGGACTGCCCCGACTGTCTGCAACTCTCCTTAGTTCTGTGCCTGTATTTCCTATGTATAAATCAGGTCAGTAGTCATCTCGCACCATGTCTACAATGTAAATTAATAGTTTATGAAGCACTTTGAGCACTATCTGGTTGCAGAACTGTCTAGGCAGGTAGGCTATAGAGGTACAGCTAGGCAAAACAAATGCAACAATACCACTTAGGGTTGCTAGAAGCAGAGGTCTGGGTTTGGCAGATCTACTTGGCCAGGGATTAGATGTCTTTAACACAATTTGACGTAAGAGAAAGGAGGGAGAGGGAAAATGTTTATCTTGCAATACTTTTTCTTAATATTAAACGTGTTACATGTGTATTTCCTGTATAGAGAAATAGCTCATACAGAGCTGTACTGCAGGATTTGACTAATCTTGGAGCGAGCGCTTCTAAGCACCTTGTTCAAGACCTTGTGAGTGGCGGGGTATATGACAAGAACAGTGCACAGTAGCAGCAACAGCTAGCTCGATTTCATCTGCAGCAATACTAAGGGCCACCTTAAGATGGCAATAGTTAGTTGCTATCACAGGCTTCAACACAATTGCACGCGGTGTGGGTAAAAATAGTCATACATACTTTACCAGTTTCCCACTATAATGTGCTTTGCGGTACTGTTTATTGAGGAGATGGGAGGCTTTATTTTGATCTCAGCCAAATGGCAGCATACTGTTGCTTATGTAAGGGACCGTACAAGGTCAGAATTGGCCTGAAAAACTAAGTTTGTAATAAAGTAGACCTTGCTTTATTTTTGGACATGTTTTCAGCAATATTGTTTATGCGTCAAATCCATTTTGTGTACAGGGGAGGAGGCTTGTTACTATGGAAAGTGAAGGTGCTTGACAGGACATATGTCGCATATATGCTTCTAAAAGTTTAGTTTACTATATCAGTCAAGGATAAGTTTAATTTTCCTTTAATTAAAACCAAGACTTTCTTAAGGCTGAATCATAAAATGTTGTTTTATAAACCAAATACTGAGCTTTCTCACTCTAGGATGACATTTTTCCTTTTACAGTGAGATATGCCTGTAACACTACATATGCCTCAGTGTGCTGGGAGTCAGGAGCGGGCTGGTTCTATTTTATTGCCATTTCCTAGAGAAAACCATTTAAATGGAAATTCTAAAACACTATTTGAAGTAGAGCAGTTTGAAGTGGCCCTACTGCAACTTACTCCTTTACATTATGTATTTACTTAGGGGACAATGTTGTCATTTCCCACGCTTGAAAAACTATTTTTTATACCCCAGAATCATCTGTCCTGGAAAGCAAGAGAAAGCTGCCTTGGCAAGCGATCTCAATTTAGCGATTCAGGTTTTTTACAAACCTAAGCGTGGGGAGAAGTGGCAGGAGCAAGTGGGGAATGATTAAAGCAGCATTCGTGTGGATCTGAGCAAAACAAAGTAGTCCCGTTTCTCCTGAGTCTAGTAGAAGGTAGTTTTAGGAGCGTAAAGTAATTGCTGTCTTGTTCAGGGTTTCTGATCCAGAGTCAGGAACCGACTTTTGAGTAGAAGGGATTTGGAAATGACAGCTTACCAGTTCCTCCTTCTCTTTCTTTCAGCCGTTGCTTTTGTTTAGTGTGAATGTCCTTTGCTTTTAGGCCATTTGGGGCAGTCATAAACCAGACAATATGGCACATGGGCCTGAAGTTAACTAGGATTTGTCTCCAGATCTGCTTTCTCAAGCCAAATTCCTTTTGAGAAGGGGTTTTGTCTGTGTGAGTACAACAGAGTGAGACCAGCCTTATATTCTTTCAACTCTAATATGTAGTTAGTTTAATTGTATGGACCATTTTATGTGCACTTCCTTTTCTAAAGCAATTTCAACAAAGTATTCATAATTACAAAAACATGGTTTAGCAGAAAAACAAACAAAAAATCCTCAGTATCTTTCCTGTTAGGCTGTTCTTGGCCCTTTTCCTAACAGTTGCTGGCAAAGTTCAACTTCACTGTTCATTTCAGAGGCTCGAGCGGGGGGAGGGATGGACTGCACTGTAGCCTACAATAATTAATATTCTTTGGCACAAGACACACATTAAAGGGGTACTGGCAAGAGAGTAGTCATGGTACCAAAAATTCAACCAGTCCTCTCTACTTTTGATCAAAGAACCATAAAAGGAAAGTTAAAAACCAGGATTCCCATTTTTGCTGAGGAAGAGGAACGAGATGTAGAAGATCGCAAGTTGTGTGAAGATCTGCAGTGTTATAGATACTTCATGGCTGGGGTAAAGTGCTTTTGGCTTACCTGAGACCTGACTTCGCTGAAATTTAGATAGTTCCATCGCTTGGCTTTCTCCAGCCACACAAGTCTGGTGATCTTCTTGGTGGTTCTACAGGAAGTCACTGGTGTGCTGATTTACCTAGGTGCCCACCCAGGTGTGGGTACGTGACATCTGCAGTGCCT